GCCAAATCAATTTGTCTCGTTCCTTTCTCCAACTCCTGAACGATTTTGTATTTCACTTCATAGCTTAAGGCGCATCGTATCTTCTTTGCCTTTGGGAGACTGGGTCCAGGTAGTTCAAGGTTTCTCGGGGGTGGTGGGGGTCCAGCTGAAGCCATTGTTGAGGGAATTAGCAGGCACAAGAGAGAAGTGTATACGCGGAGACTGAGAACAATGAGACTGGCGCAGCTTAGGTCAGCGACTTATTCCCTCTGGTGGCAGAGCACGACATGGTACATTAGACCAATCACAGCTAGCGGTGGAGGGAGGTAAGGATGCGTGGCCCAATCACAGTCCTATACGTCATATGACATCAGCGATAACGTAAGAGCGACATACTACTCACCCTCCCCGCTTCCCGCATATGGTCAAGAATGTACCGTGTAACTAATAAGTGGCGCGTCTGGACCTTGTGCGCATCCTGCTCGCACCGCTTGCCGCGTAAATGATGGAATGTACCGCGTAACTGATAATTTGCGCGTCTGGCCATGTGCCGCGTAAATGACCAAACGCGTAAAGGAAATCTGCGTAAATCGAGACTATACTGTACAGTATATAGCTATAGTATACAGTACTTTCATTTGAGTCAGGTAACAGAGGCCAGGAGATGGGTAAAACTCTGGTGACCTGGTTACCATCAGGCATATTGAAGCAAAGTTTTATGGCTGGATGCCCTTCCAAATGCCAACCCACAGGGTGGGAATAGTTGGCAAGGCAGGGTCACAACTCTGAGCTAATCAGAGATTACTCGTCTTTAGTAGAGCAGAATGCTGTATAACCGTATTGAGTTTTGTTTGTGATTAGACCTCATTCTTTGCATATTTCTGTCAATTTCTTTGTTTTCTTATTCATTCTTTGAAATTTCTTCATGCCATGCCACTTACAGTACATATACTGTATACTGTGTACTGTATGTATATACTGTACAGTATATATGTCATTCAAATTGTGTGATTAAGAACCATCTTCACGGAATGCAATAGTTGGCATATGTTCTGAAGATGGATCACTGTCTCAGCCTCAAAGTGTTTTAACTTCACATCTGGCAAAATTACTATTTACTACAAAAAATTAAATTATCCTCAGGTAATGTATAATCAGAAAATAAATTGATTGAAAACCACATTAAGGTATTAATATGTAACTGATATGTACCTAAATATCTTACAATTTAGTGTCTCTTTACTATGAAGAGAGCTTATAAATATAAGCAAGAAGATATTACACTCTTGCCCTGAGGCAACACAATGTACAGGTTTGTTTGATGGACAAATCTCATGGGTCATCAATTGGCAGTCTCTTGTTCCATTTGTATTCACTATATTTTGATACTGTACCTATATTTAATTTTAAAGGGGATGCCTTAGTGTTACAGGTATGCCTCTATTGGAAATAAGTGTTTTTAAGAGAAGTACAAGGGGTTATATGTTTCTGTATTTTATGGAAATTTATTGGTGGTCACAAAATAGATTTTAGTGAACTTTCCATAGAAAAATGATTGTTGTAATATGATATTTTCAAGATTATATTATAAATACAGTATACTGTACCTTCATTATGATCATCTATTTACCATGTTGGGGAATTGAAAAATATTACTTCTTTTATGTGATGTGTGTGATACATGTAATGAAAGCAATTATGATATATGAGGAGCTCCAGACCATAACCTGCTAAGTGCCATAGATCGCTGAAATGTGTTATGTATTGCATTGTATTACCCCAACCTCTCCTCTGTCCCCTGGGTAAGTCTGAGAGTCAATTGGGAACATGTACATGTGGGTAAGAGTCCCCTGAAAAGACTATTGTATGTCACACATTCCTACCTGAGCATTTTCCTCCATTTTCTATTTTGACACTTAGCAGATTATGGTCCAGAGCTTCTCATATGATGAAAGCCAAAGCACTGATAATTTTATAATTATATATGTTTAGTGTCAGAATATCTCACTCCAAAATGCCACTGAACAAGGGACAGTAAGAGAGGTTGGTGTTGGCCTCAAAAGTTTGTGGACATATTATTATCATTAAAAGAAATTACTTTTAAATGTAATTTGCTTGAATAATTTAAAAAAATACCCCCCAAAAATTTATGCCATAAATAGGAATTATCCACTTGAATGCTCAACCTCAGCCTTTTGAATCATTACTGTATGATGTCACATCAGTTACTAACAACCTTGGCCAATTCTTGTTCATCAACATACTGTACAGCCAGTCCTCGACTTACGACGGGGATAGGTACTGACGACCAGGTTGTAAGTCGAAAATACGAAAATAATATACATAGAAAATCTAAAATAAAATACGGTACAGTAAAGGTAAACGAACCTTGCAGGGCAGGGTCAGCGGCGGCATTATTGTTGTTGTTGTATGCCGCGCTTTGTTTCGCAGAGGCGTGTAGCGCTCCGCTGGGGGGTGGAGGATATTTCACACCAAGTATGTGTGTGAAGGCACCCTCTCCCCTTAGTATAGTGAAATTATACGCTCCAGTGTACAAGGGCGGACGTTTTGGCATTCACAGTGTCGCCCTCGGGTGTGGAGGTTCTTTGTTAGGTAAGGTTAAGACCTTGCTGTTCGCAGACAGCAGGAGAACCCCGTAGAAGATTGTTCCTTTGTTAGCTGCTGTTTTTGCAAACAATTTGTGTTGTGCTGTACTGGACAGTACCAGGACACAATTAACCAAGAATAGTGTTAAAGCAGTGTTAAGACATAAAAAGTGATTAGTTATATATACTGTATACACTACTGTACTTTACATTTAGTGGTGTTTACTTGAATAAATACAGATTTTGTGTTTGACCATACAAGATGCATAGTTTTGACCCTCAGGAAAACTTTCCCCAGTATTGGCTGTGATACACAGCTCTAGTCATACCTCACACACACATACATACATAAAGGTTGGACCCCGCTAATCCGGGACCCGATAGTGCGGCAGCTTCTGTAGTTTGGGACACATACAGTATAGCAGTGGTGGGCACAGCTAAATGAAAAGTTAGCTTCGCTAACCGCTAATCTGCAAACTAAAAAGTTAACCGCTAATGCTAAACAGCTAAAAAAATTGGCGGAAGCTAACCGCTAACTTTTATTATATGAATTTAGCTTTTAGGCTCTAAAACCCTTAAAAACAGACCTAGAGAGCTGAAATTTTCATATGTTGTCTTGTAGCTTAGACATAGAGCTTTCCAAAAAGGTATAGCATGCCAAGATCAGATGATGATCAAGGTGTACACAAATAATTAAATGAACAAATGAAATTAAGCATTAGTTTACATTCAAGTTTCAACATACACTTTATAATCTTTATTTACTGTACGAAAAGACAGAAAGTATTAAACGAATCCAAAAACTATAGTACTGTATAGCATAGGTAGCAAATAGCATCATGCCCAGATCAGATGATGATCAACTTATCAAGGTGTACACTGTACACAATTTCACAAATAATTAATTTTCATTCTCATATAACCTATCGGCCTTATTCATTATTCATGTAAATATGCAATACCAACCACATACACATTATACCAGTGCATTTTTATATAACTTATTGTTGGTCTTAGTCATGTAAATAAACAGAAAACTCTAAACTTTAATGAAAAGTAAGTTTTTAGAAAAATTAGTTTGGCGCACACCTTGGATGACATCCTGGTTATGAACTTGTGCAGTACTTAGCATAACCAAATATATTGACACAAAAAAATCCTAATTAAATTTACAAATAAATGAGAAATGAAATTATACATTAATTTACAATTACATTCTATGATTCTTTCAACATACACTGACAGTCTTGTCACGTTTACACGCACTAACACGCAGTCAGCCAAGCGTGCCTGACTGGCTGTTGGAGACGCGTCGCGGCGTCACACGCTTACAACAGATAGGAAAAAACATGTATAAATTTTGTTAGCGGACTTAACGTTAGTGGAAGCTAATTGGTCCGTTAATGGTTCCAAAGTTAGCGAAAACGCTAATCCGCTAACGAGAAAGTTAGCTTCGCTAATTAGCGGTACCGGGCCCACCACTGCAGTATAGTGAATACTTAGTCTTACAGAGCAAATTAGGATATGTTCCACAACTACTGAAAGTCAACAGTAATGCTATAAAAGTTGTGGAAAATCATTAAAATTATCACAACCTGGACTCAAATGTACTAAGCTAATTACTAAAAATTTTGTTTAGTGCAAACTATTGGATGTTTATACTCATTTAATTGCTATCTTGCAAGAATTACAGCAATGCAAGTTATATTCTGCTAAGTCAGTGACATTTTAAAAGTGAAAAACTTAAACTCCATCTATTGCATAATCCTGAGTCCCTGACACCTTGCTACGCACCCAGTACAGTAATATCCCCTTCTGGCTGTCAACACCTCAACTTCCCCTCCTCCCAGCCAGAAGGTTATAAGGATTTTGGAGGGTGAAGGTAGTTTTAGGCTTAAAAGTTTTTCTTATAAAATGTCACCGATTTGACTAGCAAAATATAACTTGCATTGCTGGAATCCTTGCAGGTCTACCTGTAATGAGGCGCATGTAAATTGATGCTCACGCTGTCAACTGAAGCTTTGTGTGGGGTGGCTTGCCGAGTACTAAAAAATGAAACGTGTAGCCAGTGCCGTGCCGAGTTACGGGGGTTTTACTGTACACATTGTAATTATGTCTGAAAATTTTAAATTCTAATTGGATACTTCTTAGTTAAAATTTAATGCTAGTATATTTAATTCACTTTGGCTTAAATTTTTACTTTAGATTCCTTTCTTGTACCATTTAACCTTTCAATACAACCCAAAAAATTCTATTTGTATTATGTTGCATGTTCTTCTTGTGCAGTGCTACCATATATGCTTCAAATACAGTATTTCTAATGGATCATGTCATCATACAATTAACTTACTTCATTGGTTTGAAATATACGAGGGCAAATATTCTGAGAAGTCTCATGAAAAAAAATAAAATAAATCAAACTAAGTTTTTATTCCAAATTAACAAAATTGTTCCGGTTGAAAAAATTCATCTGATACAAAAAGCACCGAGACATCCGACAGCTTCTTTATCATGGGTAACTATCGCATGGCTATGCTGGCTATTTCCATTCAATAAACAAATTGAACAGAGATAAAAATCCATACAGACTATCCTTGGCAAAGAAATAAATCCTTCAGTTATGGGGCTTAAATTATTTGTCTCCATGGATGATAATTCACAGGCCTTTAAAATATTATAGACCTTAAAATCTGAGTGAAAATTTATAAAGTTTTCAATATTTTCCAAGGAAAGCTTGCACATGATAATTGCTGATAATATACAGTACTGTAAAGATGATTTAGACAGTATTTAGCTCAAATAATTTGAAAAGTTTCTTCAGGATGCTATTGAGAACTTGACAGATTTTTTGTTTTTTTTTATTGATTGATTTTAAAGACAAATTCCGAGATCTGAAGGGAAAACACCCCTTGATGAATACAACTTCCTAAAAAGTTTGGCTAGATTCATATTAATAATGACTAGAATGTATTTTCACTGATACAAGTTAGCAGTGAATAAATATTCTATCATGTACAAAACAAACATGGGTTACTTAACTGGCAGTTTATGCCTCACAGATCATAGAATATTAAACAGAACTTCCTTCATCATATGAAAATAATTTCAATTTGTTGAGACATACAAGTATGAGATTTATCCGTTTCATGTTACTGTACATACACAGTACAGTAAACCCTCTACACCGGCATTCACTTTTAAAAGTTTGTAGGTGAAAATTTTTACTGAATATTGTACAGTGGTCTAATCAGATATGCTATAGGCCTAATTAGTTACGAAGTAATAAAACAAAGCTGGGGGGGTGGGTAAGACCAGGCATTGCTGCATTCGCCAGGTTTATTTATCGAATTTTAATATTATGTTCTTGTATGATCAGCCTCTTATGGTGTATTATAAGTCATCATAATTAATATAACACTTTAATAAGTGCAATAGAAAAAATACAATACATAGTTTGTAATTTGACTTAAAATAAAAGAATAAGCTTTATCGGAAGTTATTCACTCAGTCACATTCCTGAAAGCTTTCAGCAAGTCAGCTAATAACAAGATCATTATAACATACTGTATAGTATTTCAGATAGAGATATCTTGCTAACATCATTTATTCCTTTTGAGTGATACATGATGACTTGATTTGCCTACTTGAGGACTTAGACAACTGATTAATGAATAAATTAGGGAATAAGCAGATGCATAATACACTACAGTACAATATTAGATTTTGTGTTGATAAATTCACTTTTATATTATTATTTACTAAGTGCTGAAGCAGATGATGGAGAGCACTGTTAACCCACGGAGTGAAGTGCATCTCTATAAGAGACATTTTTCATGCTGCTGAAGGACGAGTGTCGATATTGGCAACTAATTCAGATGCCCAAATTCAACTAATAAATGAGCAGATAGGACAAAAAGATGCCAGATTTGGCTATATTTTGGAGGGCTACAATTAAAATCATGCATGCATAGGTAGACGTAAGGGGCATGAGTATACCACCATGCATGTAGTCTGACGTGCACTCATTCAGCACATCAATGTCACAATTTTTTTTACCTACTAGGGTTTTGTTTTTGTTTTTTGTTTTTTCAAGTGATTTCTCAACTAAATTATGCTATTATTTAGCCAGGCAGCTCACAAGTAGAAAGTATTTTGTGCAAAAAAATTTACAGACTCCTTATTTCATATTGGTTTTCGTATTACATAGCTATTCAAAAACCATTAATATATTATTAATATAAAGTACAAGGTGATTCCAATAGTAACAAATACTTGTGGAATAAGTGAGATAAAATATAAATTACGAATATGCATGAATACATGCATTGCAACTGTTGCACTTAGGCAGCAAAACTGCCGCATTTCGTGGGTTAACATGGCGAGGGAAAGTGAGAGCGATCAGCTGTTTATACTTGTAAAGAAGGAATTTATTACGAAGCAATGGTTTTGAGTGTGGGATTCTTTTTTCCAGAAAAGTTGATTATTACACCAAAATGTTTTATCAACCCAGCAGCAAATGAATCTAATATAGGAATTATGGTAAAATTTCATAGATGTGTTAAAGTATTCCTTGAGGAGGGAGCCACCCACCTGCATTACCTCCTACATCCAGATACACTCATCTCCCATTTTTTTTTTATTCAAATGGTACATGAGCATATTGAAATGACTTTTCCACAAATCCTGTGGATACCAGTACATTACTTACATAACACTTTACAGTACAAAACAGTCATATCAGTGAAAACAGTTGTTGAGAACTAGGATGTCTGATTTTCAAGAAGCAGGGTTACGTCCAACTTCACCCCCACAGATTTGCTTTTTTTTTTGGACTGGGGTCTGCCTCAGTCCGGTGTATCGTGGTACTACTGTATATATATATATACAGTTATATACAGTTCACTATAGTACAGTACTGTACTATAGTGAACTGAATATAAATTTCAATCTTGGTTAGAGAATCTTTGTCAGTACAGTAAAAGTACAGTACAGTACTGTATTAACTAAACTTTCTTGGACCATCTCAGTGTTACTGTGACTACAGGTACTGTATATCTTTTTTATTGTTATTTTTTGGTCATTCACAAGTTACTGCTCTTCCGCTACCTCCTCTTCTAAAGGTTCCTCTTCATCTACGTATTCCTCATCATCTGCTGATGCTTCCTGATATTGTTGGTACTCTGACACTAGATCATTCATATTGGATTCTGCTTCTGTGAACTCCATTTCATCCATACCTTCACCAGTATACCAGTGAAGGAAAGCCTTTCGCCGGAACATTGCAGTAAACTGCTCTGAAATGCGCTGGATACAAAAACATTTGAATTAGAAAAATATCACCAATGAATTCAGAGTTAAGTACAAAATATGTAAAGAAACTTTAAAAAGTCATACAACACTGTAGCCTAAAATCAATCTTAACCTCAATGAAAAAATGCTGTATATCAGCCCTATGGACTTCTGCAATGATAAATGGCATTTTAGTAAGAATGTTGAACCTATGTTTTTAGTACTACAGTATAGGTAGTATAGGATCAATATGGAAAATCCGGTTGTAAAGAAAATGAGAATGTAAGAAAGATATATATTTGCACTGCTATGTTATACAGGTGCTCCTCTACTTAAGAACATTCAACTTGCAAACTTTCAGAGATACAAACATCATCACTGAGGGGGTTACCTGCCAGAACAGGTGTTTAATGTGGATGAGATAATTATTTTCAAAAAAATTCCAGATAGAACAAACATTATCTAAGAGGAGAAGAGTGAGCCAGGTATTCAGGCTGGTTTAAAGGGCATAGCTGTACTAAATATCCATAATCTTTTCATTTTTTACAATATGTTTGGTATCTACAAGAGTAAAGTTGGACTTACAAACAAGCCTCAGGAACGTAACTCATTCGTAAGTAGAGGAGCACCTGGATATGCAGGGGTGGATTACTAATGGGGCTGTATCCCTAGGCCCATTAGAAAGATAGGCCTACAAAATTTGCTACAAAAATATAAGCCCTTTCTCTAATAGGTCTCTTAGACTAGCACAAAATAGCCAGTCCAGTCACCACAGGTGATAAAAAAATCCTGCCGGGCAAGTTGAAATATTAGAGAGCTTTTCCGGCTGGCAATCATTAATTTAGACCTCATTACTGTTTATATACAGTAGTGATATCACCGTTAACCGGAACAAGTGGTGCAGAGCACTTCTGGGAATGAGAGATTTCCAGGTAACCAGATGATTTTCTCAAACCCGGAAAAATTCCTTATCCCCAGAACCTTTTCTGGTTACTGGGAAAAGTTTCTGAATTTCTAAACTATACATCTTACAAAGACGGACACTAGCCCACTTCCCCAGAACGTTTCTAGGGTACAGTTCTAATTAAGTTAGAAACTTCATTTCTTTGCTATAATAATCCAGAATAGTTTATCTAAAAGTTGTGGTTAAATAAATATATTTAAAAATTAAAAATCTATAGGATATGGGCATGAATGAAGCTGTGTGTCTCAGCAAAGACTGTTATTTTCCACTCCCATTGGAGCTGTGGGGGGTTAGTGGGTCTCGTGTAACTGACCTGACCTGATGCAATGTAAGGTGGAGGTGGGGTGAGGAATTCGTGGTCTCATATTACTGACCTTCTGATGGAAAGTCAGGTCACCTTTTCTCGGGTGGGGAATTAGTGGGTCTCATGACCTGAAGATGTCTTGAATAAACACAAAACCTAAAGTATTTTTAGGTTGTTTGTGATAAGTATAAGTATAAATGAGGAAAGTTGTATCCCTTCAACATTACATTACATTTTAAAATATGGAATGAGAAAACAGAAAGGTGTGGATGATTAGAGAGATGGAGTGGAAAGGAGTGTAACATGCACCAGTGTTGCCAAGTGATAAGCTCCTCAACAGCTGATCTTTTAATTTGCCTCCATGCACTCACACAACAAGACCCTCACTAGATGCTTGTTGTCTTAATTCCTGTGTGTGTGTGTGTGTGTGTGTGTGTAACCTGACATTCTGTCAGAAGGTCAGTAATATGAGACCATTAATCCCTCACCCTACATTCACCTGACACTGAGTCAGGCCAGGTCAGGTACCCCAAAACATATTTTTGCTTTTGTCTTCATTCAAGACATTTTCAGACTATGCTCTCGATTTCCAATTCCGGCTATCGGAGATTTGTGGGTTTGAGGGATTCCGGCTTACGGAGATAATACTGTATTTTGCACCACTGACATTCAAATTTACCGCCCTGGGCAAGAGAGCATTTCTGCCTTGGGGTTGGCAAATAGGCAAAGACTTCTTGAGCTGTGATTGGCTCTTGACGATAGAAGTCTGATGCTATGGGCCAAAGTATGAAGGTTTGGAGCTTCTCAGTCGTGGCAGAAGGGATTTTGTTTACGGTGTTTCAGCTGAGAGTGAGTGTCTGAATTTCGAGTGATAAAATACTTATAAAATTGAAGTTTATAAATGATGACACTTGCTAATGATAGTGTACTGTATATGTATTGAAGAGATTGTAATAGATATGAAAACTAAAAATCAATTACTACCATAATTATATACATGTAAATATAATATAAATGCTCTAAATGAAGTTAAGTTTGATTAAGAAACAAAGTTCATTGAGCTGAGGGATAATTGAGATAAGAAGAAGGGAAAGGTGTATGATATAGTGAGTTAGTTGTTTATGATTGTCACACTGATGACTTATATAACAACAAGAGATATTAAATGAAATAACTTACTAAAATATCACAGTTACGAGTCATAGTGATTATGTTTGGGAGACAATGTAATCTACCTTGTATTATTATTATGATACAATGTGACTCATAGTGTTCCTCCTAGTTTAGATGAGTGATGTGCAACTGGAGGATGAAGGACAATTGTCTGGACTGCTAAATGATGGAGGAGACCATGGAACTGTCCCTGGGGAACTAGTGTTGAGTGAGGAGCTACAAGGACTAGAAAGTTCAGCTCATACACTACATACAAGGAAATATCCGTCAGTAGTAGTATTTCACCCAGGACCCAAGGGGACCATACTACATGTAATTATCAAGGATGTAGAGCAACTTGGCTTACCAAGTTAGATCCTCATTTGGCTTGCATAATTCATAGCAGCTGTGTCTAAGACAACCAGTTTTCACCAATGAATTGTGCAGTTTGTTATGATCAGATTTTTAAAATTACAGTAATCAAGCTGCAGAAGATAAGAAAGAATTATTGCAGATCCAAATTAAAAATAGATGGAATAAGGCCTTGAAGAGTAAATGTCTAAATGTAAAACACTGGAAAGATCCCAAGTTGGCAGAAAGTTTAGAATTAGGTTATTGGATATTCTAGATAATGAGGCAGTAAAAAGATTACAAGAACCTCTATCTTGTCAGTCTGATTTTAGTGGATTCCAGGATCAGGATGAGGAAGTTATCTCTAATCATAGTGTTCAGTCTCTAGAGCAGGAAGAACCTGTTGAGACTGACTTCATCCTGTCCCCATTTTGGCAACCACTTCCACCTGGGGCAAAAGTGTTGGTTACTATGAGTGGAAACAGGCTGCTGTCGACTGCTACGCAACTGATGGATAACATTGAGCGTAAGGATGATCCAAACAGGCCTTGGGTAACATTGGTAAGACCTAAGTCTTCTTTGTTTTCTACCACATCTGAGTCTGTGGATTCCTTATTCAAGATATTTTATGAAAATGTTTCTAAACTTCCTGATCTCTCAGCACTTACAAAGAGACAGGAAGGCCAAGCAACTGTGGGCCATCATTCATTGTTTTTAGAAGGTGATACTACAATTTCTTGGCCGGATATTTGCCCCAAAATGATCTCTAAAATAGATGAAGTCTGGGCTAATATAGTGAAAGACTTAACATTCATTCCCGCAGATAGGAATGCTCACAAGTTTAGTTTTTTGAAGTTCCAATTTAATGACAAAAGAGAGTTCCTTATATGAACTTTCCCAGTATTTGTCATCTCCAAAACAACTTGTAGAAGAAGGTAGATACTTGTTGGATCAAATTTATAATCGTGATGAAACGGGTTTCTACGGGAAACAATCTCCCCATGCTACTTTTATATCAAAGGATGACAAACAGGCACGTTGGGTAAAGATGGCTAAAGACTGATTCACTGCTTTACTAATCACAAATGCATCAGGTCAGCATAAGATAAAGCCCGACTTATCTACCGATCAAAGAAGCCTCATGCCTACTGCAATTATGACATGAATAACTTGAATGTGAATTGAAAACAAAATCACAAGGGCTACATGATGCAAAATATTTCCCACGAGTGGTTTGATGAGTGTTTTGCGCCTGATTCACAATGTAACTGCCGAAACTTGAATTTAGATATTAAAGTGCTTCTATTTATGGACAATGCTCCTGGCCATGCCCAGTATCTGGTTGGCAGATATCCTAATGTTAAGGGGGTGTTCCTGCACCCCAATACAACCTCCATACTGCAACCACTTGATCAAGAAATAATTGCCAATGTGAAGATGCTTTACTATAAGGCAGTCCACGACAGAATGAGGAAAGTCACAGACTCTCAAGATGAGGTGAACGAAATCAACAACACTAATGATAACAATGTGGAAGACGACCCTGCTTCAGTCAGCATCTCTGGCAACTCCCCCACCTTGCCGCAAGACCCTGCTAGCAACTCCCGTAGTGACACCACCCAAGCAATTCTGGAAGCAATTTCATATCCGACAAGCTGTGGACCACATGGTAGCTGCATGGAACAAAATCACATTGGCAACCATTAAACATGCTTGGAAACCCCTCTTCCCACACCTTAGTAACGCAAGGTTGGCTGTGCAGCGTCAGACAGATTTATTAGAAGCTACAGTAGAAAGTGCAAGGAGTCTCCCTCCCAGCACCTGGTTTCTGTGAGGTGGATGCAGAGCAGATCAACGAGATGCTTAAGGAGAATGGCGAAGAAATGCTGGATGATGTGGCTAATGAGTCATCTGATGAGGCAGGTATACATCCAGTGTCATCCGCGCATGATAGAGGACCGCGAAATAAAAATCCGCAAATTTTGGGGGCCCCCTGTATGTATTGTACTGTATATATGTATGTATATGTATATGTGTGTGTGTGTGTGTGTCTACACACACACACACACATACCGGTATATTTACAAAACAGTACAGGTAAAGGAAATTACTGTCTCTAGAATGAATGGTTCCCTGTCCCAGCCGCAAAAATGCTGGCAACTTTGAAACTACCCACAGACATTCTTGGGTACATCCAGAGTGTCATCTGCGAATAACTGAGAACCACGAAGTGAAAATCCAAGAACTTGGTGGGGAGGGGGGGGAGGCCTATATCTGTAAATCTTCATTTGCATCAGGTATTTGTATATTTAAAGAGGCATACATAGTGCATGAGGCTGTGCTCTTCATGCAGCCACATAAAGAGAAAATCTGGGGATATGGTAAGCAAGTCCAGGATAAACAAAAAAGCTTACTGGTAAGGTTAGCCTTCTATGGGCCTATCGTAAATGACCCCCTACTTTTGCATAAAATGTTGTTCATAAAAACTGTAAATGTCCTCAAGTATATATGGTACTCCATCCTTACCTGTATTTAGTCCTGAAGAGAAAGCATAACAGTAAATGACAGAAAAATAACAAAATATGACAAAGTAAAAAAAAAAAGAAAAAGCTGTTACCTTAAAGATCTCTTGTATTGCAGTAGAATTTCCAATGAAGGTGGCAGACATTTTAAGGCCTTTTGGTGGAATATCACATACTGCAACCTTAACATTATTTGGGATCCACTCAACAAAGTAACTGAAACAATACAGAAAGAAGGGTTTTTATTTGTACATCAACATGTGAATGTTTAAAAATAAAAAATTTGAAAATGTGGCATCAGCCTAACCTTTCCTAGATTGTAACAAGATTGGATGGATTTTACGTAAATTTATACCAAAACTGAATTTTCTATTGTTCTGAAATATATTTTACTATGTGACATAAAATAGTGTATAGAAATAGTTTAGTTATCCCTCTGAAAGATGAAAATAAATAGGACATGAAAGAGCCAGGGATGTTTTTAATATCTTATATCTGTAAGCAAACGTTTAGAGAAATCTTTGAATATCCCAGTTATCTTCGATTGTTAAATTATATGAGGTAATGTATGATGAAGTTTAATGATTGATGTATTTTGAAATGAGTAGCGAGTCCTGGAATTTTGTGGCTCAATGCAAATTGATTAAAGTAGTGAATATCTTGTGGAAACTTTGTATGTTATTGTGATACTATGGAATTTTTTTCAGTATTTACATAATGTTATCTTTTTGAATGTTAATTGCAAAATAGATCAATGATTGGAGATCATAATGCTATAATTGACATAGTGGTGTTTGGATGCATGAGTCATTGTAATTGTAACATATCTAGGAAGTGGTTATTTTTATAAACATTGTAGAATATTAGAATGTGCAGAAATTGAGTAAAATATTTAACATAGTGAACTGAGACTGTAAATTATCATTATTGGTGAGCTTGAATTGTGAACAGCATATGAACACCAGTCTCTTTGGAGCAGAAAACATAAAAGATGCCATTCTTATATCAAATGCCAATGAGGACACATGTTGGAGGTCTCCCTCTGACAGTATTTTGTCAATACAGGGTAAGTGTTAAAATACCCCAAGAGATGGGGGTTTAGGTTTACAGCTGTTTATGTGTGGATAAGTTTTATACATGGAGCAGTTTTAACTGTGTAGCAGTTTAACTGGGAAGCAGTTTTAACTGTGCAGCTGCTTATGTGTGTAGCTGTATAACTATATAAAATATTTAACTTGGAACAAGGACTTATGTTACAGCTAAGTTGATAAATTAGTATGATTATGCATAGAAAGTTATACAGTGGTCCCTCGGTTAACGAACGGTTCAATTAACAAAATTTCGGTTAACGAATTACCTCCCATAAGGATCTTCAATTCGGTTAACGAACAAAACTTCCATTAACGAAATCCTTACGACAAACACATTTTGTTGTGAGCATCAGCTGATGGGCTAGTCTGCCAATTCAGTAAGTTGTTCTATGTTTACATTCGCTTCCAGTGGAGTAAATATCAAGAAAGTTGTGCTCTTTAATATTTTTTTCATTTTTTATATTAAAATTATTAGTCATTTTAAAATTTAGTTAACATATTGATAATATATGCAGTACAGGGAACTATATTTTAGTGCGCCCATCAGCCGCTTGATTCACCCACCAGGCGTCAGTTTGGCTTTGTTTACAGTGGAGTGAACATCGATTTTGTTGGTGTCTTGAATAATTTTGCATTTTTACATTAAAATTATTGGTCAATCTGAAATTTAGTTAACATATTGATAATGTATAGTGCAGTGCAGTGTTGATTTAAATAAAAATAATCTTGAATTACACCTAGTGACCTTAAAATTTTATTGGTGAAATTACTGCATCAAGCATGGCTCCCCTGTAAGGTGATTTCTCCTCCATCTCCACTTCCTTCTCTTCTCCCTTCTCCTCCTCCACCCCCCACTTCTAATTCCCATCATCATCATCATCATCAACCAGGAACCTTCTACATACACACCTCAAAGTAAGTGTACTTTACTGCATTTTTTGTTTACTTTGTATGTACTTTTCAGTGAGCTGGAACCAATTACCCAATATCCCATTGAAACAATGGATTTGGTTAACCAAATTTTCGGTTAACGAATGACTCTGTGGAACGAATTGTGTTTGTTAACCGCGGGACCACTGTAATTTCACTTGAGAAGTGGTGAAATTGTCACTGAAACTTTTTACGAGTTTTATGAACAAATTAATGCCAAGTGAGAAGTTAACACCAGACTTATCTTATGATGTGTATTAAATAATTAATTATTGAGTGTGTGTATATTTAGTTAGAAATTATCACTATATAGGGTATGCATTTTTTTCTTAATAATTATGTATAACTGTATGCATATTTAATCAGAGTATCCATTTAATCCCATCTTTTCAAATAAGGAATCTCTTAATTTAATACCTGTTTTTAATTCAGATAAGGTTAACTATATATTTAACCATTTGTTGCTGCTAAACATGCCAATTGCCTCCATCTCAAATCATTACTTGCCTTACCTTGTCTGGATAATAAGGAATTAAATGGTAATACTCAAATGATCAACTAATTTACAAGTCACAGTTCCGATAACAGCTGGTGTGATTTGGTCACTGGTGGTAACTCGTGATATAATAACATTGTATACAGTGGTGACAGGTGTGACCACTAAGTTTTAATACAGTGGTGACAACTGGTGTGATATTGTCATACTGATGGTAACTATAATACAAGATGGATCTACATCCAGATACTTTGATCTTCCCAATACCTTTTACTGCACCTGTATGTAAGGTTTACAGCACTTCAGTCTGCATCCTGTCGATGTTTGACTTTTGCATTAATATGTTGGCAATGTGACCACTATATGGTGATGTTGGGGGTGTGTGGGTGGTGTTGGAGGGTGTGGGTGGTGTTGGAGGGTGTGGGTGGTGTTGGGGTGAGTGGGTGGTGTTGGGGTGTGTGGGTGGCATTGGGGTGTGTGGGTGGTGTTGAGCAAGTGTAAGTGATGTTGGGGGTGTGTAGATGGTGTGGGGGAGGGGGGGGATGAGTGTCTGCTTAGTACACAGTGCCCCCCAGACATGTTAAAGGGATCCTGGAGGGAAGGCGGGTGTGGGAGCCACCCACCAGTACTACACCCCTTCCTTGCCTGCTGCTCCCAGATCACTCTTATTTCCCACACACAATATACCCCTACACTCTTATTTTTATCTTTATAGTACTGTACAGTATAGTTGTCTTTATTCATAAGGAAAATTCTGTGGTTACTTATATATAACCCTTTACAGTATGAAACTATCATAGCAGTGAAAACCGTTGTCGACAACCAGACTTAGCCTGTTTTTCAATCACCACTGGTGCTCCAGGCTAGCCACCATTCCCTCCTCGTTAGTTAAGATGAGATCTAGCAGTATGGGTGTTTGCTCCCCTCTGTAATGAGTAGGATCTTTATCATGTTGGAACAGAAAATTGTCTCTCAGAGTTTCTACAAAAAGGGTAGCAGGATTATTAAGGTTGTTTGGCGTAGCTTCATTTCTCCAATCGATGTTGTCATTGTTAAAGTCCCCTTTGACAAAGAGGTGGCTAGGGTTGAGCGCCGTGGTGTTGTCAATTAAGGCTCGTAAGTTCCTTTGATTTAATAAGCTACAGTTTGGGAATCTGGAGATACATCTGACAATAAGTAAGTCACCTCCCTTTAGTTTAATTTTACAGCACTTTGATTCATCAAAAACATCCTCCCCCTGCACCCTCACCTGGCTGACTCTAAGGTCTTGCCTAGCAGATAACCACACCCCTCTTGCAAGATGCTAGAGAATGGTTTGTAAATGAGTCATTTCCATCTATGTTGAACTCATATTCCTCTGGGTTGATTCTCCTGTTCTTGTACAACAGTTCTACTTCATCTACATAGGGTTAATATTCTTTGAATAAGGTTTCAAACTCCGCTCTCTTATCAAGGAACATGTCAGCATTAGAGTACTGTACATGACTTTCAAGCCGGAATTTGTTCTTGGTCGTGACTACGGCCTACCACCATTCTCAGCAGCTGTCCCGTTTACTAAATACATTGTATTTTGTGGGGTGTGATCAGAGATGACAATGTTTACATGGAGCTCACTACCTCCTGGGTGGAGAGGTAGAGCGGGTGGAGGGCTAAAAATACATTTGTTTATCTTATAACAGGGAGGGAAATTATAACATATATGGTTATCTAGTTTAACCTACCTTCATTGGCATTGAATTCATTTAGTTGAGAAAAATTAAAGGATTGAAGCCTGACACTAGAAAAACAAATTTAGTGGATTATACAAATTGAAGACTCCTTACTGAATTTACATTTTTCATGGGATTAAAAAAAAACTATTTGGTTTCCCTCATTACTCATCTTCATTTAAGAGAAATAGAGTATATAAAAAAGATAACAGTGGACAGAGACTCGCAGATAGCATGGGTCATCACAATACCCCTCCGACTCTAGTGCCAGAGTGATGAAAATTTTATTTTAAGTTATCTTACACAATTACCTGGAATTTTTATTTTGGACTGAGAGCATCTGTTCATCTACTTCCTTCATGGACATTTTCCCTCGGAAGATGGCAGCGACTGTGAGGTACCGGCCATGCCGGGGATCACATGCAGTCATCATGTTCTTGCTGTCAAACATCTGTTGTGTTAACTCTGGAACTGTGAGAGCTCTATAACTCTGGGACCTGTGGAGAGGAGTGTACCAGTTACTTACTAGACACACCAGGTAATACTTAACAAATATCTATTTAAACAAAATACTCAAGTGTCTCCCAAACATCCAGTGGCCTACAACCCATCTAGTATTTTAACAAATATTAGAAATTCTAACTCTTCAAGGTCACTGGTATGATCCAGAAATACTTCCAGTCTGCCCAGCTGTAATTGTGTCCCCAAATTTAAATTGTAGTTGGTAAGCTGAGGACAGCCAAGGTAAGTGCCAGCTATGCTGCCTCCTTGTATATTAAATGTGCTTCATTTAAACTGTCCCTAACAAAATGAAAAGCTCTCTTCTACTTATAATTTAATTAGTCATTGTTAAGCATCATGTCTCTTAAATATTCAGCCTCTTTAATATAACAAACCGCATTAGCAAAATATGCAGTCTTGTCCCATATATGCAGATCCTACCAAACATAGTGATGTCACATCTTACGCTCCTTTAACTTTACACGCTTGGCTGGGGGGGGAAATACCTCCACTTGCACCTCTCTTGGCCTCAGGTACTGCATGTACTGAGCAGGATAAGGGCTTTGGGTTTTGTGCCTCTGTCAACTGACCCTTAGCAACAGTTGCTAAGGGTCTGGCAGCAGAGGCAGCACATTCCAGATAAGTTGTGATGCAGTGTCTGCACTATCTTGTATAATTTTAGCTTTTTTGTGCTTTCATTATTTTTCCAAAATATTATCTGCTGAAATCAACTTGACAATCGGTGGAAAATAGGATAAAGTAAACTTAGAGCAGAGGTGGTTGTGTGGTGCGCATTCAAACTGAAATAGGCCAAACCAGCCGAGTCGCCATATGCGCTATTAAAACAAACTGCCCACTGCTTCCACACTTGCCATCACCTCCCACACAGAATACACACCCATGCTCTTCATAGTTCTTATTTCAGTTTTATATTATATTTTCTTTATTTCCAAGTCACGTTAGAGTATCGAAATGATTTCTCCACAATTTTTATAGTTTCATTACCGTATATACCGGTGTGTAGTTCGAGTTTTTAAGACCCAAATTTTGGCAAAAAATTGGGGGTCGACCTCTACATGGGAAATAGTTTTGTTAGGTTGAAAAATATTTACCATTTACTGCCAGTAAACAATGGAAACATATAATATGCACCAATTAGTAATGAAATGAAAAGTTGTGCTGTTCCTTCAGCAGATGAAGCTCACCAACTTACAATAGGCTAAATTACCTTACAACGTGTTTTCAGTAGTCTATGTTGAAGTTCTTAGCACAGGCTAACTTATCATATCATATACGGTATCACAGTACTCATTGATCAACAAAAAATACCGGTAATAAAAACCTTTTCGATATTTCACACTTAATATAATACCCGGTAATCCACTGCAATCTCCTATTGTTTACAACGATGCATGACGCACCACCAGCTGTTGCGTATCAGCTAGACGGTACACGTGTTTTTCGAATCGTTTTCAGTTAAGAAACTGTTACATCACACGTATATTTTACCTTAACTGTGCCTGAATGAATATATTCTCGGAAATAAATAGTAGTTTTGTTGAAACGTGATGTATTTTAATATAAAATAGGATAAAATACATGACAAAAACAAGTCTTTACCTAACCTTCCGATGTTCAAGAGAAGTTACTCGTTTTTTTAATAGTTTTCGGTTAAAATACTGTTATATTACAATGATATTCTATTCATACTGTGCTTGATATAATACATTCACGGAAATGTAATATTTTTGCTGAAATGACGTACGTATTAAAGTGGAAAGTGGGATAAAATCGTGACGCAAACAATGACTTTCGCTTTCTTTCATTCAAAAGAGGTTACTGTAATCGCTTTTCGAATGGTTTTCAGTTATAAAACTGTTGTATTACAATAATATTCCCTCCTAATTGACTTGAATAAATACTTGAATGGAAATATACAATATTTTTGTTGAAACTACCGCGTTTCAGTGTAAAGTGTCGTAATAATAAATGGTAAACAATTTGCCTTCGGCACTCGGTGTTTCAGGCACAGCGAGCCTCAGTTTATAGGACGTAGAGTGTTTTTACTGAAGGTTTTATTGTTCCATTACCCTCAAAAACTTGGGTCGACCTATAAACGAGGGAGGGTTATAGTTGAGTATATACGGTATATGTAAAAATGGCAACATACAATACCATCTCCCACGGGCCACAGCTGACTTCTGGCGCGGTTCTCATAAAAACAGGCTTCTTTAACAATTATTCTACTCTATATAAATGATGACTTAGAAATAAAGGAAATTTAATATAAAACTATAAAATAAGAAAAATGAAGAGCATGGGTGAGTATGCGTGAAAAGTGAATGTGTGTGTTGGTGGTGGGCTGTACCCATGGGCTATAACTACGTCTTCAACTCATTAGCCTAGCCGCCTCATATACAGTCATGCATCGCTTAACGTCCTAGATACGATCTTGGAAATGTGACGTTTACTGACTTGGACGTTGTCCGAACATCACATTGTGAACTTTGTATTTATACTTACATGTACAGTCATGCGCCGGTTAACGTTCAACCGAACAACGTCCAATCGCATATACAGTACGTCCGTGCCCCCCCCTCGATTAACGAGTTTCTTACGAACTGACCAGAACATGTTTTCGCTTGCATGTGGCGGTCCACCAGCTGTAGTATTTGTCCGCCAGTACAGTAATCGGTTCTAGGGTTTAAATTCCTTACCATTTTAGTAAATATCAAGAAGTTTATACTATTCAATAATTTTAAAAGTTTAATATTAATTTTTTTTAGTAATTTTAACAATTATTGAACATGCTATCCAGCCTGCCAACACACCATACAGGCGTCAGTCTTTGAGTCTTTTCAGTGGAGGTAACATCTTGCTTGAGACTCTTCAACAAAATGCTTTTTTTCTGTGTTGGCAAGCAAATTATTAGTCATTTTGAAATTTAATTTACATATTGACAATATATAATGCAGTGCAGTGTTGATTTAAAGAACATAATCTTGAATTACACCAAGAGAACTAAAATTTTATGGGTAAAATGGCGCCATGGGGTGACTTCTCTTCCACCCCAATGCCTTCTCTTCTCCTCCACCCCCATTCTAATTCCCATCATCATCATATCATCCAGGAGCCTTCTACATACACACCTCAAAGTAAGTGTACTTTTCTACCTTTTTTTGTTGAATTTAGGCAATTTTCGGTGAGCTGGAACCAATTACCCCAAAACCCATTGAAACAATGGTTTCGGTTAACGAGCAACCTTCTAGAATGGATTGTGCTCGTTAACCGAGGGACCACTGTACTAAAATTTTTATGTCTTTTTGCAAATATAGCTTGTTTATACAGGTATTCAAATAAATCGCTATCTTATAAGAATCCCAGCAATGTAAGTTATATTCACCCAGGTCGCTTGGGTGGCAAATTATGAGAAGAGCTTAGTCACTCTTAAGGAATGATAAATAAGCACGCAGGCCTTCAGCGCCAACTGTCAAATCATATCACCTCACCTCCCGCTCCCCTCCCTCCCACGCTCCCTCGCGTGGGGGGTTTTAGGCCTTAAGTTTTTCATATAATATCTCAGACTATAGAATATAAATTGCATTGCTGAAATCCTTGCAAGACAGAGATTAATTTGAATACAAACGTCATATATTTTGCTCAAGAGATAAAAATTGTAGTACATTAGTGTACATTTTATAATATAAAGTTTTTCAACTGTATTTTTGGGTAGATTTACATAAATTTCTTCATTTATTTTCATCCATTTACATGCACACACCATACTAAAAGAAACGTAAAAGAAATAAATGACCTTAGTGCAAAGCTGGAGTGCATATTTACTAATTTGATTACGGTACTAAAATTGTTATGTCTAGTGCAAATTATAGCTGTTTATATTTAAAATAATCACCATCTTACAAGAATCCCAGCAATGTAAATTATATTCACCCAGGTCATTTCACTGGCTTTTTATAAGAGAGAAGCTTAGTCACTTAAGAATTGATAAATAAACACGCGTTAGACCTTGGGCCGGTGCCAACTGTCCAACGTACCACCTCACCTCCCGCTCTCCTCCCCCACACGCTCGCTCGCTCCCTTTCCCCCATCTGCCCAGCATTGCTGGAATCCTTGTAAGACAGTGAATAATTTTAATATAAACATCATGTATTTTGCACAAGAGATAAAAATTAATCACCTGTATCACATTACAGTAGTGATTTAAGAGTAAGAGTGTATATGTACGTATATAGTATTCCACATACACGTAAGTATAAAGACAAAGTTTATGTGATGATCAGACAACGTCCATTTCGGTTAACGTCACGTTTTCAAGAACGTATCTAGGACGTTAACCGGCACATGACTGTATGTGGAATATTGCAGTGTACTTGTACTGTACAATATTGACTAAATTCACTAGATAACGTACACAACTCATGAAACACAGAGGTTAAGAAGGCTAATAAAATAACATAATGTTTACATTGCCGACAAGGCAAAACCAAGCATACACTCTTATACAGCTTGTAAACTTTTTATTTCCTAAGTCAGGAAATCAAATTAAAAGTACTGGACTACACTACAATAGCCAAAAAACATAAACCAGTAACATAGGCATTTCTTATATCTATCAAAACATATTATGGATATATAGTTACTGTACTGTATCATCATACGCCTGGAAGCACAATCTATTTTGTTTAAGAACACATGATGCATGCATGAGTGCGCCCGCTCTAAGGCCACTTACGTCCGCTACGTCCCGTTGTCTGAACATTTTTCCCCCCCCCCATTATTTTCTTATTATTTTTATGGGCCACAGACGTATATGCGATCGGACGTTGTTCGGACGGACATAAAGCGACGCATGACTGCATTGTTATTTGTAATGAAACCATAAAAGTTGTCAAAAAATCTTTACAATACTCGAATGTGGCTTAGAAATAAAGAAAATATAATATAAAACAAGAAAATGAAGAGCAAGGGCATATATGTGTGAGAAATGAATGTGTATGGAGGCAGTTCTAGCCAAGGCCTTGGCTATAAATTATGTGGCCGATGCACCAGCCCAGCCGCCTTGTACTATATATTGTTAATTGTGATGAAACAAATAAAAGTTGTGAAAAAATCATTACAATACTCTTATGTGGGCTTTAAATGTGTGAGGTGACATCATGGCATACACACCCACCACTGTGGCCACCACATGTCTGTGAGTCAACTGAGCTGGGTAATGGTCTGAACTGTGTTGCGAGCTGGATGTGTGGGAGGTATGTGTGCGTGGAAGAACTTATTCTTTGTACATAAATTAATATATACTGTACCAATAAATGTGAGGAATAAATACAAAAATAATAATAAATAAAAGAAAAAATACAGCATTGCCATTTAGCAGATGGTGAGAGAGCACAGCAGTGAGTGAGGAAATGCCAGCTGTAGCTCTTTCCCTCCCACCCTCAGTGCTTGCTTCTACACATAATGATTAATTCCCTTTATGTTTTTAACCTTATGATAATTATTTAACATTTTTGGGGGCACATACTGTGTGTGGTGTGCATTTAAACTGAAATAGACCAAACCAACCATGTCGCCAGGTGTGCGACTTTATGGCTGATTTAAGGAATTTTTAGAGTACAGTAATTTTGACAGTAAAACCTTGATTAATCGGACATCAATATATCGGAATTTGCTCTTTTCTGACTCTGAGGGTGCCCTAGTCACCAGAAATACAAAAATAAAAATAAAATAAAATAAAATAAAATAAATAAATAAATAAATAAATAAAAATAAAACAAAAATTAAAATAAAATAAGTGCATATATGGTTAGGACTGGTTTGGGTTGGTAAAATTCTACCCTTATTAGTTCAGTTTAGGTTTTGTAAATTTTGAGAACTGGTTGAATACATCTTAGTCTCACACAGAGTTCAGATTTGTTTTTATTTATACCTTACTCTGGATTCTTGTCACATCCACATTTTAACCATGATTTTAGTTATGCCTAATTTCAAAGTCCCATATTCAGTTTAAAAATAATGCACATATAATACAATAACCATACCCTCTGGATGTGAGTGGTGCAAATCCTGGCATGAAGAAATGGAGACGAGGAAAAGGCACCATATTGACTGCGAGTTTCCTGAGATCGGCATTAAGCTGGCCCGGGAACCTAAGACAAGTGGTCACACCTGACATTGTTACCTGTAAAGACAATACCTGGTCAAAAGACATGTAAAACACAATTCTAATGCCAAAGTAAATATAAAACATTCACTGCCTAATGCATTAAAACACGATGAAAACTGATTAAATAAACAATGAGATAGAAAATAAACTAGCTGTAGAAGCTGAAGCAATCATACATGTTTCCCCCAACACCATTGAATCTGAGACTTGGAAGACATTAGACTAACCTGAAAAGATACACAATAGGCTCTACATCCCTAACTAGTGTGCTAGCCACGTTAGTCCAAATAAATATACCTTCCATTCTCAAGCAACAGATTTTCAAGGTGTGTTGCAAAGAAGAATGAAAAATATATAAAATAACACAAACAAGAATTCTCGAAGGAAAGGAAGGGTATATTAATAACACAAGTGCATCAATACATCATAATATAGCATTTTGAGATGTTTCCTTAGTTTTCCATTCTCAATATAATGAAAAGATAAAAGCATTGTAGAATTGTAATTGTTGTTATACCTGGAATAAACAAAGTATACGGTGCATCTCATGAGATTAAAATGCAGTTCTATGAGATTAAACCCTAAGAGCATCAAACTTTAAAAAATTTACCTTTTAACCAATTTTACCAATATAAAGTTATACTAAAATGTTTCTTCATATTCCTTTGACCTGCTATGTAGTCAACATTAGACCTATAAGTAGTCCTCTATTAACACAAAGAAACTTTTCTAAAATGTATCATGCTTTGCAAAAACATGTACAGTATGTACAGTACAGTACCCAGTCAAGTCACAAATTCTTTTTAACTAATATATACAGTATTTATATTTTAAAGTTATTTAAATGTTTCTTCAAATTCCAGTACAGAGTAGAATAAGTATAGTACAAGCCCTACTTACTGACACAAGATGATTGAGATCACCATAAGATGGAGATGTGAGCTTGAGCGTTCTGAAGCAAATGTCATAAAGAGCTTCATTATCAATACAGAAAGTTTCATCAGTGTTCTCCACCAGCTGATGCACAGACAGGGTTGCATTGTATGGCTCCACAACTGTGTCTGACACCTGAGGAAGGACGAAGCCCATGTTTTCATTATTTAAATTAATAATATTGAGTAAAAATACAGTATACAGTATTACCCCGCCTAACGCGGTTTCACTTAACGCGTTTTATCATATACGCGGTGCCTCGCCAGAGCTGAACTTTCACTTAACACGGATTTTTTCCACATATACGCGGTGAGTGTCCCCGGCTCGAGACGCTATTTTTAGATTTGCCCCACCCGCCACCCTGCCTGACTGCCTGTTTTAGCTCATAAAATTCATACAAATTGCCAGGTCAGAATATAATTTACATTGCTGGAATTCTTATAATTTGGTGATCATTTTGAATATAAACATCATATATTTTGCATTAGACATACAAATTTTAGATAAAATTTTTTCTCAGAGTAACTATGTTATCTTTTGTGCAAAATATATGACATTTATATTCAAAATATTCCTGGTCTTACAAGGAATCCAGCAATGTCAATTATATTATCCTAACTTTAGTTTGAGGTATTATTTATTACAAAAAGTTAAGTATTCTGGTTTTCCCACACATCTCCTTGGGACGGTTGGTGGGGGGTGGGGGGGAGGGAGGGACCGACCGACCATCTGTTACCCCGTGAAGAATATTTTTTTTTTTTTATTAACTGAAGATATTTGTTTTAGCTCATAAAATTCATACAAATTACCCGGTCTGAATATAATTTACATTGCTGGAATTCTTATAATTTGATGATCATTTTGAATATAAACATCATATATTTTGCATTAGACATACAAATTTTAGATAAAAATTTTTCTCAGAGTAACTATGTTATCTTTTGTGCAAAATATATGACATTTATATTCAAAATATTCCTGGTCTTACAAGGAATCCAGCAATGTCAATTATATTATCCTAACTTTAATCTGAGGTATTATTTAATACTAAATGTTAAAAACTCTTGAAGGGAGGATTGGTGGGGGGTGGGGGGGAGGGTTGGGACTGACCGCGCGGTTGGAAGAGGGGGGGAAGGCAAGGTGGGGTACTTTGATTGACAGATAGTGTCCTGAAGATTATTTTTTTTTTTATTAACTGAAGATATTTGTTTTAGCTCATAAAATTCATACAAATTACCCGGTCAGAATATAATTTACATTGCTGGAATTCTTATAATTTGGTGATCATTTTGAATATAAACATCATATATTTTGCATTAAACATACAAATTTTAGATAAAAATTTTTCTCTAGGTAACTATGTTATCTTTTGTGCAAAATATATGACATTTATATTCAAAATATTCCTGGTCTTACAAGGAATCCAGCAATGTCAATTGTATTATCCTAACTTTAGTTTGAGGTATTATTTATTAAAATTTAGTGGTTTTCCCCCAAAAATTTCTCAGAGAGGGAAGAGCTGGCAGTGTAGTGTGAGAGGGGGAGGGAGTTGAGTCCATTATTTGAATGGACATTAACTTGGCGACTGTATTTCTCTATTTCTCTTAAGTATTAATTGTGTGCATGTACCATCATAAAATTAAGATGTTATTTTTACTACAACATAGGTATGTGCCTTCAAAAAGTGGAGTTTGGGGGTCGGGCCGGTTTCTATTGGAATTAATCCCATATGTTCTGTTGTTCACTTAACGCGGATTTCACTTAACACGGGACCCTCTGGGTTCTATTGACCGCGTTAAGTGGGGTACAACTGTACACTTATAATCTGTGGAAAGATGAATGCAGAGTGGGGCTTGAAGTTACCCACAACTTAAAAATGTAAGTTGAAATTTCATGCATTCACATAAAAGTGCATGTACAGTACAGTACCATATCTCATAAAAATTTCATAATCCTAAAAAGGATGGATAATGTGAACCCCAGCCACTTTGTTGATGCCACACACCACAAACAAGATGGTACTGTACATAACTATAAGCTCGCTAAGTTATGCAGAATGAACATAAGGAAATACATCTTCACACATAAGGTGGTAGATCCATGGAACGGTCAACCAGCTAAGCTGTGGAATCATGAACAGTACTGGGTTTCAAAATAGCCCTTGATAAAATTATCAAGAACAATGGAGGATTCTACACAGGCCACTGGCCTCCTTCCCTTGGCATGACCACCTAACCTCTACTGACACCCCCCTCCCAAAAATATTCCTTTCTAACAATGTTAATGAAATCCAAAATTTATTGAGTTTACTCTATTTATATACTGTATCAAGCTTTCTATCACATAATTTGCTAAAAGAAAATTTTATGTTGTTAAGTAGATATGAATAAAGTACTGTACTTGCATACCATAATTGCAAACTCAAATAAATCATAACTCACTTTTGGACTTGGAATAACTGAGAATGTGTTCATTATTCTGTCAGGATATTCTTCACGTATTTTTGAGATGAGGAGAGTACCCATCCCTGAACCAGTACCACCACCTAAAGAGTGTGTCAACTGGAAGCCCTGTAAGCAGTCACAGTTCTCTGCCTCCTTTCTCATGACATCCATGACCGAGTCCACCAATTCTGCTCCTTCTGTGTAGTGGCCTTTCGCCCAATTGTTACCTGGGAGGAGTAGAAATTATGAGGGTCAAAGGCAGGGAACAACAATAATACAGTAAAATATTTCTTACTCCTAACTTGTCTCTACAGTAGTTAACTCTACACCATCTACTGTTTCTTTGAGGTAAAATATCATATCTGATATCTCTAAATATTTTATTTATGGTAATAAAACAATATTACAGTACAGAAAGGGAAGAGAGATTATCGACTAAAGGAGGAGAGTTAATAAGACGAAATGCCTTTGATTCCACCCTATCTAACAGTTGGACAGAAGAACCACCCCAGATATGAGAACAGTACTCCAAGTTAGGATGAATGAATCCCTTATAAACCTGAAGCAACTAACTGCTCAGGAGTGAAGTAGCTATGACATCTGTACAGCATCCCCAGCTTTAAGGAGACAGCTTTATCAATGTTGTGGATGTATGGCTTCCATGATATGTTAGAGGAAACAGTGAGGCCTAGCATATCTATTTTAGAATTTGGCAAAATGATTGTGTCCTGAAATGTAATTTGTGGGAGATCTTCTATTTTGGAATGTGTAATTGGTAAATACAGGATTGTGTTTTATTACCATTGAATTTAACCAAATTTCTACCTTCCCATTCAGAGATGCTGCACACACCAAGGAGATGGAAGGGGAGACGGCACAGGTGATTTTTGCTCCTTAAACTTTGGGGAAGTACATCTCAGTCCTGTTGATTCTGTTTGTAATCTTGGAGTGTATTTTGACCCCCAAACTAAATTTTTAAAGAACATAAATTCAGTACAGTAGACCTTTCCCATTCGCGGGTTTACGATTCGCAGTAAGCAGCTGGTGGCTCAGGGGGCTTGCCTGCTGGCCTTCTCTCGCAGTGCAACGAGTCACCCCACGCACCCACGGCGTCTCATCTCAGTCTGTTTACCCTCACCCAGTACCAATGACCTAGCATCCCATGTTATAATCTCAAAATTTTCGTGTTTATTTGTGAAAATGGCCCTGAAAAGACTGCCTAGTGTCAGTGCTAGTGGAGTGAAACATAAAAGGCAAAAGTCAGTGATGACCCTGGCAAAGAAAATTGAATTATTAGACAAGTTAAAAGAGGGGACGAGAGCTGCCGCGGTTGGTTGGTTATTTGGCGTGAACGAATCCACAGTGCGGTACATTAGAAAGAATGAACTAGCAATTCGTTATTCTGTTCAAGCGAGTGCTCCTGAAAGTGCTTAAGTGGTGCGGGTTATTCATAACAAGAACATAGTGAAAACTGAGAAAGCACTGAACATTTGGATTGAGGACCAGCACCACAAAAAAATGTTCCGGTCGACAGCAACGTGATTCATGAAAAGGTTAAAAGTCTTTATGCTTATTTTTATGAGTCAACAGGTGGTGAAGGGGCTAGTGTGGCTACCGAACCAACTTTTAGTGCCAGTAAAGGTTGGTTCAAGAATTTTGAGAAAAGAGTCTCTCTCCATAATGTGAAGCTGACTGGGGAGGCTGCATCAGCTGACCACACAGCCGCAGATGCATTTCCCGCCAAGTTAAAGAAAATAATATAAGAGAATGGCTATAGACCAGAGCAAGTGTTTAATATTGGAAGAAAATGCCTGGTAGAATGTACATAAACAAGCAGGAGAGGCGTGCCTCTGGGATCAAGGCAGCCAAGGACAGAGTGACACTCATCTTCTGTGGCAATGCGGCTGGCCACATGATCAAGCCTGGCTTGCTTTATCGCTCAGCAAACTCTTCCATGAAACACAGTCTTAAGATGGTCCGAGGAATCAACCAGGGATTGTTTCCCTACCAGGAAATGCTTAAAAACCTCAAAGCCAAGAGGAAACAACTACCAATCACCATGTTTACCAAGAAAGAACCAGCTACTATCGCTACCGCTCCACCCACCTCCCAGCTACCCGCCACCTCACCACCCACCTCCCGGCCACGCGCCACTCCACCAATCACCACTGATTCAACCTTTTCCACCAGTGATCCTGATGATCTACCGATGCTTCAGCAACCAGATGTCTCCCTATGTACAGTGCATCACTTCATCAAGCTCCAGACTTCCACATATGAATGTAAGTACAGTATTGTGACTTAAGTTGCTCATACACAGTATACGTATACTGTACCTGTATATTAGTGCACTAAGATATTATATGTGGCTATTCGCGGTTTTGCCAATTAGCGCCATTTCTTGGAACCTATCCCTCGCGAATGGTAAGGGTCTACTGTACTTAAGAGCTGCAACTTTCATATTCAAATTCTCTATGATGTTAAACAGTTTTGGGATAAACAGTGTCTTGTGACACAACTGTATTACATTCACTTATTGTGTCTCAGGTTGCCTGTTGTAACTCTTCATGGGTCTGCCTACCTAATTGTCTACTGAAGAAAGTTCAAACAGTGTTGAACAGGGTTGCCAGGCTTATTTTTGCTCTTTCAACGAGGACTCCCAGTACCCCATTCTTGATCAAATTATTTAGGCTTCCAATTAAAGCTAGGATAGAGTTCAAACTCTCTCCAATGAATTTTACGACACTAATGACTGGTGAGCCCAAGTATTTGGCCAACCAACTAACTCTACTGACTACACACCCTGAAATGATTTTAGGTAATATGATGATCCATCACGCCTTCAGGAGCCTAAAGCAGTATGGAAATGTTCTTTTGCTGACCGATCCTTTTCCTATACAGCATCCATATTGTACAATTTGTTGCTTGCATCAGTGGAAGCCTTTAAGAAACAACATAAAACCTTTCTTTTTTTGAAAGCTTATGATCCTGAACAGGGTACAATGATGGAGAATTACAGGGTTTAAGGAAGTCTTAAAGCTTAAGAGTATATGAATGATAGAAGTCAAATTGTCACTTTTTGTGATCTTATATTGTATTTTTTTTTTATTCTCGTCTTTGACTTTGCAGTGTTTCGAGCGCTAGTGAATTATTTAAAAGAACTGGTGCTTTTGAGAAACAAATGACCAGCATTTATTATTACTATGAAGTACCTCCTATAGTACTATAAATCCATAAGTTCAAATCATGATGTCTCTCCAAAAACTGAAAGGACTCTGGGGCTGCTCTATTACTGCATTATTGTGTCAAGTTGTCAACCCTTGTGACTGGGAGCAGGTTGACTCCGACCTCAATTTCACATCACAGAGGATATATTGACCTGTCACTCTCTTTGATGATGACCAGAGTTGTCAACTGACAGGTAAGCAGGTTCACCGTGTACTTCACATACACGTCCTTAATTATTTGTCTTTCTCTAAATATGTTTGTATGAAAAAGGTACAGAAAAAATATTGTACTTTTGTACATTCCCATACTGGGGAAAAATACTGTACAGCAATTTTGTACCGTACTCATGGCCAAAAAGTTACGTACTGTAATGTAATTCTGCATCATACTGCCACCCATTCTTACAGTTCATGCAAAAAATCCAAAATTACATGTACAATTGCGGTCAAAAGTAATCATCCATTCCACCACCTAACCCCTGCACCTGGCTGGGTCCTTTCTGCACAGTAAGTCACATGGGGTGAAGAGGGGAGATTGGTTGACTTAGGAAAGGTCTGTGTGTTGTGTACGTGGGGGGGGGGGGTTGCGATGCAAGTTCCTCATCAGAGGGAGGGGATTGAAGAAAGCAGGGAAATTCATGAAAGAAGGAAGGGAAAGATGGATAAAATTTGTTCACTTATTACCTTAGGTTTACTTGCTTGAAAGAGTGATAGATGGAGACCCATATTTTATGATTATTATGTGCCATCCATTTCCTTATTTATCATTTTTTCAGGTTTTTAAAAATGGTAATTAGATATTTATACAGTAATTACACTGATATGAGAGAACTATGGAGTACGAATTGGAAATCACATTTATTTTTAATACAGTGGTCCTTTGGTTAACGAACGGTTCGGTTCACGAAATTTCGGTTAACGAATTACCTTCCATGAGGATCTTCAATTCGGTTAACAAACAAAAATTTGAATAACGAAGTCCTTATGACAACATGTTTTGGCTTGCGCATCAGCTGATAGGCTAGTCCGCCAATACAGTAATCGGTTCTAGGCTTACATTCGTTTCCATTGGAGTAAATATCAAGAAGGTTGTGCTCTTTTAATATTTTTGCAAATTTTATATTAAAATTATTAGTCATTTTAACATTTAACATACAGTGGTCCCTCGGTTAACGAGCACAATTCGTTCCAGAAGGTTGCTCGTTAACCGAAACCATTGTTTCAATGGGTTTTTGGATAATTGGTTCCTGCTCACCGAAAATTACATACAAACGAAAAATAAATTCTGTAAAGTACACTTTCTTTGAGGTGTGCATGTAGAAGGCTCCTGGTTGATGATGATGATGATGGGAATTAGAATGGGGGTGGAGAAGGGAGAAGAGAAGGCATTGGGGTGGAAGAGAAGTCACCCCATGCCGCCATTTCACCCATAAAATTTTTGTTCACTTGGTGTAATTCAAGATTATTTTCTTTAAATCAACACTGCACTGCGCTATATATTATCAATATGTAAAATATATTTCAAAATGACCAATAATTTGACTGGGAATCACTGATAAAGCCTAACTCGCCTAAAGAATGTTACGGAATTATTTGATGAATTGTACCCAAGTACGGTTATATAATATTAATTGTATGTATTCATAGCATTAAGGAGAACTCAAGGTATCTATAAGATGATTGGGAAAGTCCAGTTGAGCCGGACTAGTGTACTGTAAGACTAAGTGTAGGTCGTGGTCTGAAGGTCATACTATTTACGTCTGTGAATGTTTAGTGAACATAACTTCCGCAGATATCAGATGAAAATACATGAGAACAATGATCTGGAAAAAGGATAAAGGTATCAGAACTATATGAAGTGTTGGAAGTGATCCAGAAACTATGCTTCAAAGAGAATATCTTGTATACCCACGCCATGAAAATACGACGCTTGGCTGTGCTCGGGTTGGCGCCTAGGCCGCCTCGGGTGTGCCGCGTTGATATTATAACCCAATGAATTT